GCGCAGGGACCCATCTCCCGTGGGGGTCATGCTGCTGCTGACGTGGCGAGGAGCCCGACCCAGTCCGACCGGGGGCTCCCGGCCTCCAGCCCCCTTCCGGCTGGGTCGCCGCTTGGCTGACGCGCAGGGGTGTGGGCCGAGGGCCGGGTGGGCGACTGGGCGGGGCGGGCAGATGGAGAAGCAGGCGCCCTGCCCCGAGCTGGGCGTCTGCCCCAGAGGCTTGGCTCCCTTCGCTCTGGCTGGAGGCCGGGTGTCCCTCGCCGACCCCTTGAGGGCAGGACCTGAAGGCTCCGAGGGGAAGGCGAGCGAGGGTCACGCGGCCAGCCCACGAGAGTGAGTGGGCGTCTCTCTGCTGTGTCTCTGGCAGCACCGCGCCCCTCGCCAGGCCCCCGAGCCCGAGGCCGAGGCGCCCAGGGGCCGTGGGACCTCTGCTCACGGGCACCGTCTCCCCGCAGCATCATCAGCTGGTTCGTCCGGTCCTTCAAGTACCTGTACGGCCTCCGCTTTGACGTCAAGGGGCGCCAGAAGCTGACGGTGGACCGCCCCTGTGTCATCATTTCCAACCACCAGAGCATCCTGGACATGATGGGTGGGCTGAGGGGCCGGGGGGCCGGCCGGTCTCGGCGGGGGAGGGCGGCCGGCGGGGGAGGAGGGCCGCCCCCGGGGGGACCCTGGGCCTCCGCCCAGCCGCCGCCGCAGGTGCCTGTGCCATCGGCCCGGGGCTCACCGGGAGCCGGGCCCTGCGCAGCTCCCTTGCAGGGAGGAGGGAGCCCGGGGAGCCAAGGGAAGGCGTGATGCCACCCAGGCCTGTGAGTGGCCAGGCACGGGGGCGGCGGCCCCAGGCCCTGAGCCCCTCCTCCCCCTCCCGCCCCACGACAGGCCTCATGGAGGTCCTGCCTGAGCGCTGCGTGCAGATCGCCAAGCGGGAGCTGCTCTTCACGGGGCCCGTGGGCCTGATCATGTACCTCGGGGGCGTCTTCTTCATCAACCGGCAGCGCTCCCAGACGGCCATGACCGTGATGGCCGACGTGGGCGAGCGCATGACCCGGGACAACGTGAGTGTGGGGGCAGGGCTGCGGCCCGCTGGGCGTGGGAACCCACACGCTCTGGCTCCCCGGAAATGGCTGGCGGCAAAGCCCCCCAGGGGGGCCTCCTTTGGGCATTGGAAGCACAGCATCGCCCACAAGTGCACAGAGAAAATTGAGGGGGGCGGAGGGGGCCTCCCGGTCGTCAGCGGTGGTGGTCTCCACGGAGACGGGCTCCTCGGGAGGGGCGGGGTGCGGTCTCCCCTGGGTTCCGCCGCCCCCAGCCTGGCATCTGCCCCCTCTCCCCCCTGCAGCTCAAAGTGTGGATCTACCCCGAGGGCACGCGGAACGACAGCGGAGACCTGCTGCCTTTCAAGAAAGGCGCCTTCTACCTGGCGGTCCAGGCCCAGGTGCGCAGGGGCTCACCTGCCCGGGCAGCGGGGCCGGGGAAGATGGTTCCGGGTGGCTTAAGGCTGCGGGGGACCGCCCGGTGGGGCTGGGGCGGCGGGCGCTCTGGGACCGGCTCCCACTGGACAGGAGGCAGGGCCTCACGCCCCCTCGGCACCTCCGCCCAGTGGGTGTTAAGGCTCTGCCTGCTCAGGCCCAGAGACCAGCCAGAATGATGCTCATGCCCGGGGCCCACGCTGGCCAGGCCAGGCCGAGGGAGCAGGGTTGGGAGAGGCGAGGCCGGGGCAGCAGGCCTGCTTGCTGAGTGCCTGTTCCTCCCGCCCGGCACCCCTGCAGGGGTCGGGGTTCGGGGGTGGGCGAGCAGGGCCTGAGGTGGGGGGCGGGGCAGGCTTGGGCCAGAGCCAGAGATGGGCCTCTGTGTGAGCCCTGCTGTGGGCGGGACCTCATTCTCCTCTGCTCCTGGGCCTCCAGCGGTTCAGTTTGTCCCAGAGGTGTCCTGGGGCCTGTGGTGACGCCAGGAGAGGCTGGGGTTCACCCATCCACGAGGGGTCCTCCCGGTGGGTGAAGGGTGCCCTGTCCCACCCCTGGCCCTGTGCGGTGGGGGTTCTTGTAGGGAGACCGTAGGCTGGGGGGAGTCGGTGGCTGTGGTGGCCTTTCTCCCGGCTTCCACCTGAGACGGGCGGCCTCTAGCGCCCCCTAGCCCCAGCCCTGAGCAAGGCTGGGGAGCTTCCTGCCAGAGACCCCAGCAGATGCCCCAGGGGGTGCAGGGGCTGGCGGGCGGGCGCTGGAGCCCAGAGCAAGGGGCCAGGGCCGGGACCTGGGCCCTGCTCCCGGCCCTGCCCCAGCGAGGCTCTCCCACCCTCTGGGCCCATGCGCCCTCGAGCCAGGTGGGAGAGGGCACCCTGCTAGGTGCCCCAGACTGATGTCACTTCCCTTTGCCGGTGGCGTGGGGGAGGGGCGGTGCTGGAGGAGGTGGCGGGGTGGGGGTGGGGTGGGGTGCGGGGGAGAGGAGTAGCAGCAGCCTCAGCCAGGCATCGTTTGCTGTCGTGCCCTGTCCCCCTCCCTCTGTCTCCCCTCAGCGTCTGCGGGACCGTGCCCCCCCCCAGGCTCTCAGCCTGCCCGTGCCTGCTGGGCCCGGGAGCCCCTCAGCCCGGGGTTAATGATTACCTCAGGCACTGTTTCCAACCGTGCCGTCACCAGTGGACTTGACCCTGGTGTTTTCCAGGAATATTAGCAGGCGCCGCCCCTCCCCCAGCTGATTCTGCCCCCAGCCTTCCCGGGATGGAGAGCCTCCTCCGGCTATGCTGGGCAGTGTCCTGACCCCCTCGGGGACAAGTAGAGGGCACAGATGTGAATCAGATGGTCATATGCCAAACCCGGGAAGGCTTCCTGGAAGAGGGGATGCTTGAGGGAAGGTGTGCAGGATGAGTTTATGGCCCTGTGGGCCACCCAGCGGGGAGAGGGTGTTCTAGGCCTGGAGGGCCGGCTCGTGGAAGGGCCCTGAGGTTGGACGTGGCGACTGTGGCAGCCGCAGGAGCTACGGGCCGTCCCTCGGTGAGGCGGGCGGGAGGTGAGGCAGGGCCGCCTGGGGGCGACTGCCGGTCGTCTCAGGCTCGCCTGGTCTCCCTGCGCAGGTGCCCATCATCCCTGTGGTGTACTCCGACTTCTCCTCCTTCTACAACACCAGGAAGAAGATCTTCACCTCAGGTAGCGCCACGTGCACGCGGCCCGTGCGCCCTGTCCCTGCGGCGCCCAGGTCCCTAATGGAACGTAGACCCCATTTCTGGGCGTTACTAGAGGCCAGACCCCTGCCACGCAGTGACCATTCTGGGGAGGGAGGGAGGGAGGGAGGGAGAGATCCGGAGCCTTGACCAGGGGCCGAGGTGCGTGGTCGTGGGCCATTTCCTGAGCAAAGGAACCGAGGCCCCGAGAGCGTGGGCTGGGCCCCGAGTCCACACACACGCAGGTCCAGGCTGCGCACACGGCTCTGGGGCGGGGGCCAGGGCACTCGTGCACTTGTCCTGCGATGCAGGGGCGCTTCTGAGCCTGTGCACCCAGGAGGCCTGACTCAGGGGGGCCGCAGCCTCCTGGGCACCCCCAGCCCCACGGCCCCCAGAGCTCAGGGCCCCTGCCCTTCCCTGCAGACGCTGCTCCTGGAGCCCAGGTGGGGAGGTGGGGTGCGAGGTTGAAGGGCAGCAGGGGAGGAGCCAAGCCCGCCACCCGCACCTGGGGCCCTGGGACCCCCAGGATGGCGGTGGAGCGTGGGTGGGGCTGCCCGGGGGCGGGGCCAGGAGGGCGCTTCCTGGTGGAGGGGGTGTTCTGGGCCGTGGCGGGTGCTTAGAGGGGAGGGCGCAGTTGTCCCTTGTCCCCACCCTGAGTGTGAACTTGGGAGCCAAGTGCGGTCGTGTCAGCTCTTCTCGGCTGAAAACCAGCCAGCAAGCCCGGGTGTCCCGGGAGGAACCCAGCCCTGCTGGGCCGTCGGGGGCTGCGCCAGGAAGGCCGGTCGGTGGCCGAGGGGAGGGGTTCTGCTGGCGATGGGGTCAGGAGAGGCTGCAGGGTGGGAGCCAGGCGACTGACCCCCGCCCCGCCCCCGCCACAGGAACGATCAAGGTGGACGTTCTGGACGCCATCCCCACCAGCGGCCTCACCGTCGACGACATCCCCCAGCTCATGGACACCTGCCACGAAGCCATGAGGACCGCATTCTTCCACTTGTCCAAGACACCCCAGGAGAACGGGGCCACTGTGCAGCCCCATGCCCAGCCTGCCCAGTAGCCGCGGCCTGCAGCAGGCAGGGCCTGGAGGGGCGGTGGGGGGCAGGACCTGGCTAGAGGATGGACAGAGGGACCCCACCGTGCCCCGCCTCGGCTGCCAAATATCACTGTGTTCCACTCCCTCGGCCCGGCAGCTTTCACTGGGGCCCCAAAGCAGGGCGCCCACTCCCGTCGCTGGCTTCGGATCCAGGCCGCCGAGTTCCCGGCAGAGACGGCCGGGACCTCCCCGAGCGCGGAGGGCAGGGCCTCGGACTTGGGCGCAGGAGCAAGCCTGGGCCCGGACAGATGGCCGAGCTGAGGCCCCGCCCTCCCTCGGGCCTCCCAGCCCCGCCTGCATCAGGTTGCCAGGACGGGGTGGGCTCAGGGCCAGGTCTGAGCCCCGCTGCACTGCCGCGCGGCCGCCGCACTGCCGCGCGGCCGCCGCGCTGCCACCGCACTTGGTGGTTTTTCAGGAGGGCAGCGCCGTATCCATGAGGCCGCTGGGGCTTCTTACTTGGTGGTTTTTTTATAAACGAACTCTTGGAAGTGCTTGGTGAGCTGCGGTCACTCAGGGTGGGCAGCACCTGGGGGTCTTCTAGGCAGCCCAGGCCTCCTCCCTGGGGCCCAGCGCAGGAGCCCCCAGGGTCCCCTTCCCAGGGCGTTGGGCCCACGGCCATGCTATGGTACATCTCTGAACGGGTCAGGCTGAAAGGGCACGCCCAGGGGTCTGACAGGCACTGGGGAAGGGCGCTGAAGATTTGCTCTTCGGCCCCTGGCTCGGGGCGGGGCCCCCTGTCACCAGGAGGAAGCTGTCTCTGGTCGGCGTCACTTTCCCAGAAGCCACCTGTTCCAGCTGTTTGGAGGGGGACCAAGGCCCTACCTGGGAGCACCCAGTGGGCCGGAGGCCTCTCCCTGCCCCATGCTGCTCCTGTCTCCCACCAGTCAGCGTGTGCTGGGGGCCTGGGGGAGGCCCCTGCCAGCTCCCGAGTGCCCCCCGCAATCCACCCACGGACACGGCAGCTCTTCAAGTCTCATTTTATTCTGACAAAGATCAGAGAGGGGGCTGCCCCCGCCAGCGCGCCGCCCAGTCAGGGGCCCCAGGCTCTGGGCAGGGAGCTGTCGTCCCGCCCCTCGGCCCCGGGCCTGCCAGGCCCCAGGAGCTGCCGAGGTGCAGGGGCCGGTCCGCACGGGACAGCCCCTCAGCCTGCCCGGCCCTGCTTCTTCCGTGAGCAGAGGCGGAGCACCCTCCTGCCCTGCCCGAGGCGTGGGGGGGCACAGGCCGGTCACAGCTCCTTCTTGCAGGAACCTGCAGGGGCGATGGGGGCTGCGCTCAGTCACGGCTCCCACCACCTTCCCGTCCAGCCAGACTCGCCCCTTGGCCTACGGTGCCCGCCCTGTCCTCTGGCCTCTCGGCGCAGGCTCCCCCGGAAGCATGGGGCGCTGTCGGTGGCGGGGAGGGTGAGGGGCAGGGCACTCACAGGACCCCAGCTGCTCCTCCAAGAAAGAGATCTGCTCGCTCAGAGAGTCGATGCGGTCCAGCTGCTGGAGGGAGTGGGCCAGGAGGCTGCTGGGGTCGGGGAGCCCCTGCTCCAGCGCCCGCGAGGCCAGGCTGTGCAGGGGGGCCAGCACCAGCTGCAGCTTCTGTGGGGTGGGCCAGGGCCGGGTGCGTCAGGGCCCGGGTGACCCCAGCCAGCCCCTCACCCGCTCTGTTCAGCAAGGCTTTAAGGGAAACTGCCGTGGCCGGCACAGCTTCCCAAAGCACGGACCCAGCTCTAGCTGCAGGGCCCTGGACGGCCACCAGAGGGAGCTTCTGCACCAGGAGACCCAGAGGGCGGGGCAGGGCGGTGGAGACCTGGGGCCAGCCTGGCCCATGGTCCCCCAGGAGCAGAGTGTCTCAGGTCATCAGCCCAATGGCCCTGTGGAAAGGCCCACAGGGGCACTCAGTCCCCTCAGGGACAATGGCGGGGTGGGCTGGACCTGGGTTCAGGTTCTCTGTGGCCAGAGGGGACAGGGCTGAACCTGGCCTGTCCTGTCATGGGGTCCCAGTCACCCCCTCTTACCCCTACAGCCAACAGGGGACAACGCAGGGGGCAGGCTGCGGCCCTGGGTCCCCAGCCCAGGCCTCACCTGCTCCAGGACGTCCACCCGTGACCGAAGCCTCTGCACTTCCTCCTCTACCACACTGTCCACGCCTGGGGAGACCCAGTGCTGAGTTGGGGAGGCCTGGCCGGCATCCCCACCCCCAGCTGGCCTCTGCCCAGGTGGGGTGAGCCCCTCCCCTCACTCTGGGCCCCCGCTGCCCCCCCCCAGGGGCCACCGGGAGGTCTGGGGGCGGCCCTGCCAGCTCTGTGCGCCCTGGGTCGCACCCTGGGTGGACGCAGCCCCACCCTCGCCAGCGGCTTGGTCCAGGGTCCCCGCCATGCTGAGGGGAGGTCCCCGCCGAGGTCCACGCTGCGCTCTTGGTGGCCGGGCTGCCGACGGCGCATTATTACTCACGGTACGAGTTTGAGAGTCACAGCGCGTACCAAAAGTAATAATGTCCCGTCGCCAGCGGAGGCGCGGCGTCTCTGAGCTGCCGGGGCAGGGACGCGGGCCCGCCACGCTCTGGCTGAGATGAGGCCCCCCCCCAGCAACATCCCCTCCCCCCGCAGAACCGGAGAGCAGTGGCCGCCCACCCTCCCTCTGGGGCAAGAGCCCCCTGCTGCCCCGGCCGGGGAGCAGCAGGGCCGGCAGCCCTCCGGTGTCCCAGTTGTCCAGCACCGGGGCCCTCCCCACCAGACCCCAGGTGCAGCAGCAAGTGGCGAGTTTACCTCGGGTGGGGTTCGGGGCCACCCTGGGGGCCCCTCTCCTGGGCGGGCTTGGCGCCCCGCCGGCAGACGGGCTGTGCCCCTCCCGGCACTGGCACCAGTAGCTACCCACAGTGTTGACACAGCGGTGCAGACAGCCGCCCCCTCCCGCACTGCATTCGTCCACGTCTGCGGGGAAAGCGGCGTCAGGCAGGGCCCGTGCCCACACCGAGCCCCCCGAGATGGGCCCTGTGAGAGGGCCCCCCGAGGAGGGCAGCCCCCAGCCTCACCTGTCTGGCAGGTGTCTCCCTGCCATCCTGCCGGGCAGCGGCAGTGGCCTGGCTGGACACAGCTCCCGCCGTTTTGGCACGGTGGCTGGCATATGGCTGTGGGAGGCAGAGGCCTGTGACCACCTCGTGAAGGTCCCCAGGGGTGGCCGCCAGGAAGGGGTGTCATGCCGCAAGGAGGCGCTGGGCTCAGGTTTCAAGAGGAGCAGCGGGTGCTTTGCCCAGGTCCGCACAGTGGAGCGGACTGTGGTCTAACCGGGCAACCATCCTGACAGACAGGCGCTGCCGTGGGACCTCACCTGCTCCACAGGCCTCTGGGAGCCCGCTGGTCCGCTTCCAGCCAGGGCAGCAGGCGTAGCGCGGCCTGGTGGGGGCGGGCCCCGGGCTGCGGCGGTAGGCCGTCCTGTAGATGGTCCTGTTGGGGGGGGGGCAGGGGAGGGCAGCTCAGAGGGGCCCGGTCCTCACGGGGGCGGGGGGGACCGGACCGGGTGCCCCCAGGTCTCCTGGGTCGAGGCCGGGCTTTCCCCAGACATGCCGGCCATGACGCCCCGACCTCCCATCCGCGCCTAGGCCTCCCCAGTGTGCAGAGGCTCACGCGACCCCCCAGGGGCCTCTGAGACCGGGCCCGCAGGCTGCCCTGAGCAGGCAGGGCTCCCGAGTGGGGTGGGAATTACAGCGCCCTCCCTCCTCAGCCAACTCCCATGTCCTGGCTGGAGAAGGAGACCGAGCAGCCACCCACAGGGAACAAGGGCTCTGGCCCACGCGGGCATGTCACAGGGCCCCCAGCCTAACCGTGCCCACACTGGTCCCCGCCCCTGCCAGGTCTTGGAGAACCTTGCAGAAAATAAAATGTTTTCAAGGCCCACGTCCACGGCTGAGAACCGGGGGTGCATGCCCCTCCCACAGACACAGGCTGCAAGGACATCCTGGTGAGGGACAGCGGCAGGGCCTCCGTCTGTGACCAAGGGGACTTGGGGGATGGCGGCCGGCATCCTCCCAGGGGGACAGAACTTGGAGCCAGCGATGCCGTGGGGCGGGGTGTTAATGCCTTGAAATGGAGGGGGCACACCGGATGGAGGACCCCTCGAAAGGTGAGGGTGGGGAGCAGGTGAGCGAAGAGATGCTTGAGGTCACCACGGTACCAGCACGACCACGTTCAAACAGGTGTCGGCCTCTGCCACCGGCTCGGGCGTGGCCTGGCTTTTCCACGGTGGGGTGAACGCCCCCACCCAGGCCCCGTGCGATGCGGGCAGGCGGGCCGCACTCACCGGTACGTGCTGCAGACCCGGGGCCCGTCGCAGGTGGTGAGGAACGGCTGGTACACACGCTGCACAAAGGACTCGGACACAGGGCCCCGGGGAGCCCCCACGGCGCACACTCTGCGGCTGCGGGGGGGCTGTGAGTCAGTTGGGGGCTCCCAGAGCCAGACCCTCCCAGCCCCGGGCCCAAGGAAGCTGAGAAGCTGGGGGAGGGGCTCCTCAAGGTCACTGTGGGAAGGACCCCCAGCAGCCACAAGTGAGAGGCACAGCCCCCGAGAGCCTGGGGGGAGGGCTCACCCGGGTCTGTAGACGCGCTCCGTGGCGCCCGCTGCCAGCACCAGGACCCACAGCAGAGGCAGCTCCCTGCAGCCCCGCATGGCCGGAGTCTCCAGGGGGGACGGCCTTCTCCTCAGGGTGGCCTGGAACACAAGGCGTGGCCTGTAGGTCCCACTATGGATCCCACTAAGCCCCTGCTCCTGGGGGACACTGTCCCCTCGCCTCAGCCCCTGCCAGCAGGAGAGCCCCCGGCTCCCCGCCAGCCACACACAGCCCACAGGGCACCACGGAAGGGCGACGTATGGGGCCTGGGAACGGACATCGGCGCCTGGTTCGGGGCAAGAGGCCTCCGGACCCTGCTGGGCTGCGCTGGGCAAGCACAGAAAGTGCCCCAGGCTGCAGGGCAGCCCCCGGGGCGGGGGCCCAGGGCACACGCGGGGCACAGCGTGCCCTCCCCGGCAGGGTTCGGCGCTCCCTCATCAGTGCAGGGCAGGGCGGGGCTAGGGCTCAGTGGCCCCCCCGATCTCAGTCCACAGATGGGGGTTAGTGGGCAGAGCTGGAACCAGCCCAGCTGGCCCGGCCCTCCTGGTCTCTAATGTCCCCCCACGGGGAGCCAGCCGTGGGCCGTGCAGGAGTCCTTCAGGGCTGCGGGCACTCGGCAGCCACGGGTGTTCCCGCCCTCGGCGGGTGAGGGCTCGCATTTCGGAGGGCGACCGCTGTGCTGGGGACCGCACCGGTCGGGAGTGTCCGGCAGGCAGCCTCCAGGGCTCCCAGACTGTGGCCGCCGGACACCTGCCTGGCGGGGGACAGGAGCAGCCCCTCGGCCCCCACGCCAGTCGAGCTCATGGACGTCCCTGTCGTCTGGTCGGGGACGTCCGGTTGGGGACCGGGGCCAGGGAGGCCTGGAGAGGACCCCTGGGAATCCGAGAAACCCAGCCCTGAATTAATCAATGGCCTGTGACAGGCCCCGGGGACGGGAGGGGGCAGCCCAAACAGGCAGGGGAGCGGGGAGATGCGTCCATCTGTGCGGCCAAGGCCCCCTGTTTCGGGAGCCCCGCCCGAGGCCCCCAAGGGGCCAGGGTCCCCACGCCCCAGGGCTGTCCTGGGCCCTGCAGGGTCCCCAGTAGGAACAGGCACTGGAAGAAGTTGAAGCGTGTGTGTCGACTCCTCAGGGACCCGGCTTCCGCAGACACCACCCGGGGCTCAGGGCTCCTCCTTCGGCTCCGATGGTCAGTCCCGTGAACAGGGACCACGCAAGTGACTGAACCCTCCCCACCTACCGGGCCCGCTCCAAGCACGTGCCCACCCTGACCGGGTCCTTCCTGCACCTCCTGTTCTCTGTGAGGCCCCAGAGTGGGGGAGGGGACAGTGGTGTCAGGACTTAGTTTGGGATCAGCAGGGCTTCTCAGAGCTTCTGGGCAGGGGCCCGAGCGTGGGAAGACCAACTTGGGGGCGCGCCCTGGGGGCGACCCGCTGGGCCTCCTCCGACTCCTACTCCAGCACCCACCCTACTTTCAAGCTGTTTGGCCAGGGTCGCGCAGCTCTGCGAGGCGGGAGGAAGCTGATGGCACTGCCCAGCCTGTGCTGGGCTGGCAGAATCTCATTTCCCTTTGCTGTTGCAGCCCTGCTGGGGCCGGAGCGCCAGCGCGGGGGTGGCCCCGGTCTCCAAGTCCGTAAGCAATAGAGTCCCGGCCTGTCCGAGTGTCAGGTGAGCCCTGCCCACCGCCTCCGCCCCACCTGCCTGGCCCGCGTCCCGAGCCCCGACCCGAAGCCCCCACCCCGGGCGGCTGAGTCCTGACTGCCGCTGGCAGATGGTCCCGGGTCACCCCTCCACCGGAGGGGCGCTCTGCACGGGAGTACCCACAGAGAGGGGGGGCGAAGAGGCGGCGTGAGGTGACAAGACTGACTCATGGGACGTGCCTGCTCCAGCGCTCGTCCCACGCCGCCCCTTCGCCCCGCACGGCCGGCTTCGCGAGCGGTGGCAATGAGGGCGGAGTGACACCCTCCGCCCCGCAGACGGCCCGGCTGGCCTGGGCTGCAGGGTGCGGGGCCTGCGAGGCCCTGAGTCGGCCCCCGGAGGACTCGCGGGGCCCAGATGAGGGACGAGGGGCTGCGGCGCCCCCACCCCGGCCCCCCGCGCAGCCTGGCGCGGCGCTGAGCACTCGCCGCCGGCAGGGGGCGCGCTTCGGCCAGGCCGCTGGGCCCATTCTGCGGAACCAGCCGCAGGACCCGCGGCCGGGCTGGGGGTCGGCTCGCCGCGCGGCGGCGCCCGGCGCCCCGACCCGCTCGCCGCCCGGCTCCCCGCCGTCGCTCAGCAGTCGCCCCCCAGCGTCGCGCGCGGCCCTGTCCCCGACCTTCCCCGCCCCCAATCCCCAGCCGGAGCGGCGAACGGCCTCCGCCCTCGGCGCTGCCCGCGCCCCCAGCCCGGCGGCCCCGCTCGCTCCGCACTCACCGCCCGATCCGGGCGCGCACGCGCCGCCGCCGCCACCGCCACCGCGCCGAGGGGCCCCGGCCCCGCCCCGGCCCGGCCCGGCCCCGCCCCACCTGGCCCTCCCAGCCCCGCCCCCGCCCCGGGGTGGGCTCCGAGCCCCAAGCCCGCCCGCCCGCCCCATTGCGCGGATGGAGAAACTGAGGCCCCGCAGCGGACGGTGCCCCGGGCCAGGCAGTGAGTCAGCTAGAACCCGGGGCTCCTGACACACAACGGCCTCCGAGCGCCACCGCCCCTCACGAGCCCGCTGAGTCCCAGCAGCCATATTTGCGCCCCACTGCAGGGGACACAGGGCTGAGACGCAGGTTAGGTACCTGGAGGCAGTGTGGGGAGTCACGCTGGCCAGGGTGGGCTAGCTGTCGACGCCCCCCCGCCCCCCGCGCTGCCCCAGCCTGAGCACCAGCCGCAGCGGGTAGCCCACACAACCGGGGGCCCAGTTCACTAAGCGCTCTGCAGCCCAGCGTGGGGTGGATATCATGAAGCCCGGAGACCCCGTATTCCCGCGAGATGACACGGCTGGGTCCCGGTGTGGCACCCAGCCTACAGCCCATCCACGGTGCTCGGTTAGCATCCTCTTTGTTCAGGACGCTCAAGACTCCAAGCGCTCCGCAGACCCCAGGGAGCTCCCCCAACCCCACGGTCACTGCTGGGACTCCTGGGCAGTCTTTTGTCCTCGTCCCCTTTCCCCATTTGTAACGTGGGTTGCAGCAGCCCCGTGTGGCAGAGCAGCCAGGAGCAGCAGTGCCCCCCAAGAGACAGTGGCCCTCGCCGCTGGAACCAGGCGAGCCCAACCTGGAGGCTGCTATCACAGGTCATGTTTGTGTCATGATTATCACAGTGGTCACTGTGCAGGAGGCTCCGGGCCTGTCCCCCACCACACAGTGTCCGCCCGCCAACTCAAGCCCGGGCCTTGGTCGCCTAAGTGTGCACATGTGAGACGTTCCCAGGCTCGGCCGACCCCCACTGCTGCCCAGAGGCCCTGGGGCTTGCAGTGGGACTCACCGGGAGAAGGGGGCTCCGTCATGCCCCAGACACTGGTGGCAGCTGCTCTTCTGGGTGGCGGGGGCCCCCCGAGCCTCCCCTACGCTGGGCTCTGCAGGTGAGAGACAGAGCGAGGGTTAGCGCACGGCCTTGGCCGTCCTGTCCGCGGCTGGGAGGCGGCTGGGGGCAGCCTGGATGCTGCCTGGGGCCCCAGCCGCACTCGGCCTGCAGACCCCACCCCCTGCGGCCCAAGCCGCTGGGGCCTCCCAGGTCTGCCCGAGGCTCCCGGCCTCCGCCTGGAGGCAGAGGAGGCTTCCCATCCGTCACGTGGGCCGGTGCGGCCAGCCCTGGGGTCCCGGAAACGCGCTGTGCGGGGGGCCCAAGTATCTGCGAAGCCCAGGTGTTGCGTGAAGGGTTCACGGGAAGGAAGGGCTTCTGGGCAGCCAGAGCTGTGGGGCACTGACTCAGGCCCCCTTCAGTGCCCGGGCGCTGAGGGGAGCAACGGGGCCAGCTGGACAGGGGCCCCCGGAAAGAGGCTTCTCCTTCCTGCCTGTCAGCGGCTGCTCTCCTGGACCGGGGCGGGGGGCCCTGGGAGCACCCAGCAGGTGGTCCAAGGGCAGCAGGGACGGCTGCTTCTGGATGCCTATCAGTGCGGGGGGCCCTGCACTGGGCCCTAGTCTCCTGGCCCCCAAACCCAAGCAGGGCAGCCCCTGTCCAGCCCCGGGCAGTAAAGAGTTAAGAGCTGGACCGAGGGAGACTCCGAGGGAGACTCTCCCGGCCCTGTCTCCTGACCTTTCCTGTCCCTGAAGCGGACGGTCACTGGACCCTTTAACCTCCTGCCTGAGCAGAAAGGGCAGCCTGGGGAGCTGGGCCGGCCCAACCTCACTCTGCCTGTCGCCGACTTTCTCCCCTGAGACCTGGGCGTCCTCGGGGCCGCGGGGAGCCAGGGCCGGGAGGGCACCCGCGCCTGCTTGGGGGTGTGGATGGGGACATGGGCCACTCTGGTTGGCGTGGAGAGAGGGAGACCCGGGCTGCCCCCAGGGTCCAAGGCGGGCCGGCAAAGTGCCTCCCTCCGAGCTGCCCCTGCCTGGGGACCCCCGAGGCCAAGCCAGCGGAGCGGGGTGGGGGCTCCTCCTAGTCCTGTATTCAGTGTCCCCGACGTTCACAGCTCATCCTGGATGCAGGTCTGGTTTGGGGGTTCCTGTCCCCTCAGGGAGTGCTCGCCCACCCTCGGGGGACGCCCTCGGGACGCCCGGGTCTGAGGCGAGGTCTCCTGGGCGCAGAGTGCGGCCGGAGGGAGGCGAGCCAGGGGCAGGGTGCCGGCTCCACGTGCCTGCTCCCTGCAGGGGTCACAGGGCTGCCGGGGGCCCGGGGGCGCGTGGTGGAGTCGGGCAGGGCTGACCTCAGTCCAGACTGGGCCAGCCACCCGCGGGCGCCCGAGCCAAGGAGGCTGGGAGTCCTCCGTGCCGTGGGGACGGCACCAGTAGGGGGGACGATGAGATGGCACCGGAGAGCTCAGCCAACAGGGTCCGGGGTCGGCGCTCACCCCTCTCTGCCTGCTCCCTGCCCGTCCAAGGCGCTCCCACCGTACCTGGTGCTGCCTCGGCCCCCGGCCGGGCCATGGTCACCGCCGCTGCCTCCTCGGCCGGGGTGGGCCCTGCCCCTCACAGGCCGCCCCAGCCTCCTTCTGAGGCCGCCCGTGGGCCTGTCCGCTGGAGCCTCCATCTGGGCCGTGCGTGCTGGACAGCGGCTCGGGGCAGGGAGGCTCCTCCCGGGCGAGGAAGGGCGGCTTTTTATGCTCCGTCCCGTGTAAATCGGGACTGGGATGGGCCCTTCCAGGCCGGACTTCCTGTGTGTGTTCTCCACTGATAACGGGATCTGTCGGCACACAAACAGGAGGCCGAGGGCCCGTGGGGGGCCGTCGAGGGAGGGGCCTGGTTGGGCGGCAGGAGGGGTGGGGGACCTGGGCCCCAGGCTGCGGGGTCTAACCCTGAAGTAGCCAGAGACCAGGCTCTGGAGAGCCACAGCCGGGCTGGCGACCCTGGGACACGACAGGTCCAGGGTGTGACAGGGGACACGCCGGCTCCAGGGCCGCGGACCCACCAGGCTTGCGGGGCTCCACAGAAAGGCCCGCTGGTTCTGCCACCCCGGATCACCCGCCGCCCCCCAGGGCCCGCAGCAGCACCCCGATGTGTGTGCCAGGGGGTGGGAGCCCAGCCGGAGGAGGCCTGGGGCTGGGCAAGGGGGCTGGGCCGAGCCTGTTCCGTGGCTCCTGGAGCCCAGAGGGGCTGGGGCGGCGGCGGGGAGAGGCCGGGGGTGGCTTGGGGCCTCGTCCAGCGAGGGGGCTGCCTCGCCTGGGAAGGGCCTCCCCAGGCAGTAGCCCCGCGTCTGGAGGCGCGCCCGCGGGGGAGGCGTCCCGGCCGCCCTTCCCTGGGGCGCTCCCTGGCCCCTCTGCGCCCCGCCTCCCGCACGCTGAGGGGTACAGGGGTGGGGCTGGAGGAATGCAGGAGCCTTGAGGTGGCCAAAGAGGGTGCTTCCTCAGATGGGTGGGTGCTCCAGCCCCTGGCCTGGCCCTCAGGCCCCTCGTTTAGGAGGCGCTGTGCCGGGGCCTCGCAGGCCACGCTTCAGCAGCCGTGACAGTGGGTGACAGGTGTCCGGAGGGAGCTGGGCCGCTGCTGAGCACCTCCCAGACCACATAGTCAGCGGGGGCCCAGGCCGAAGAGTGGCCCGCCTCGGGCACGGGCCCCGCGCCAGGGTCAGCCCGCAGCCTGGCCTTGAGCCCCTCAGCTGGCCCTCGCCTCCCCCTGGCCCCGCCCAGCTGATGTCCTGGCCAACCGGGCGGCCTGGGAAATTCCCCACCGGAACGCTGAGGGCAGGAGGGGGTCTCAGCCACGCCTGGCGGGTCCCTGGCGGGGGAGGGGGTGCAAAGGTGCGGGCCTGCAGTCGGCCCAGGGCCTAGCCCTCGGGCGCCTAGAGCGGCGCTGGCCCCAGAGTTTCTGTGAGGCCCCAGTTCCTGGGACTTAAAGGTCATTGGCCTGAGAGGCAAGGCGGCCGGGGGCCCTTTGCCCAGATGCCCCCCAACCTTTCAGCCCCCAGGGCCGCACTCTGGGCCCCGCTTCGCCTCGCCCAGCCCCCCTCACTCTGCCACCGAGGGCCCATTGGCCCACAAGGGCAGGTGTCCTGACAAGGGGACTTGCCAGGGCGATGGGCCATCTAGGCTCCACCCCTCCCCCACGGGGCGCTCACGTGGCCCCGACCCCGGTCCCCTGCGCCGAAGAGCCAGCAGACCCCAGGCCTGGCCGCATCCAGCCGCTTTCGTGTACAGAAGGGGAAACCGAGGCCCAGAGCGAGGAGACTGGGCCAGGCGTGCAGGGAGGCAGAGCCGGGCGGCGTGACGGACCAGCCCCGCTCCCTGTCCCTGCCTGTTTCCAGTGAGCCCCCAATGCCTCCCGTGCCCCCCCCCCGCCCAGTTGTCAGACACGTCCCTGCCTGGGGACGGGCTGAGGCTAGGAATAGCCAGTGAGCTAGGTAAGTGAGAGGGTTAATGGATGACACCCCCCCCAAAAGGAGGGCATATCAGGGAACTTTCTGAAAAGGCACCCAGCGCACAGAGGCGGATCCAGGCCCGGAGGCAAGAAGGCAGAGGCTGGGTCCTGCATAGCTAGGCCCTCCCGCGGTAGCTCCTAAGTGCCAGCCCCCCATCGTTTTGGGGTCCCCAGTGCTCCGTGATCCCCTCCTGACAGGCTCTGCCCGGCCCCCGGCCCCTCCCTGGGCCAAGACCAGGACCAATCCGCAGACAGGAGGCCTTGGCCGAAGGCCCAGCGGCGCCAGCCTCTCCCTGTCCAGTGGCCTGAGACCCACCTGCGCCCCGCTCGGGCTGCGGTCCTGCCTCCCTCCAGGGCATGTCAGGGACAGGCGGGGGCTGCCCAGGAGCGGGGCGGGGTGTGGGTGCGCAGGCCGTGGGCAGACGTGGGTGCTGTCTGACACTCTCTCGGGCTGCGGGAGGGGCCTGGGGGCTGGAGAGCAGCCACTGTCACTTTCTGCCCCGGAGGCCCCCAGGGCTGGGGCGGCGAGCGCGCTCTGAGCTGCGGGTTGGGGGGGCTCTGCCTGCGGCAGGAGGGGCCGCCCCCCCCCCCCCCATCCCCCGGCCTCTGTGTAGGGTTAGGGAGCTCACAGGCTGCTCCCTTGGAGTCTGTCCCCAGGCCCGCGTCCCCAGAGGGCGGTGTGACCCCCTCTCAGACCCAGCACAGAGGTGGTGGCCACCGGGTGGGATCGGTCAGCGACCTCCGGGAGGTCCAGGCTGTCCACACCTGGGAGGCTCAGGGACCGGGCCTGGGCCCTGTCTGCTGCGGGTGTGGCGTCCAAGGCAGAGGCCCTGGCACGCTGGCCCTCGCTTTGCTTCTGTTGCTGGAGGCACGGACCACGCCGGGCCTCGGGTTCCCCGTCGCCCCGCAGCAGCAGAGCGAGGCTGCGGCAGCGTTCTCCCAGCCGCCGGGAGTTCGGCGGGAAAGGGGCCATGCTGCCTTACCTTCTCAGGGCGTGCTTGTCAGGGGTCCGCAGGGCCTCCGGGGGGTCTTCTGCGGCTGTCCTGGGACCCCTCACTGCCGGGCTTTTGGCCTCTGGAGCCCCAGAAGAGAGTGGATCCAGCCCCCGGCAGAGGCCCGCGTGGGCATCCCGGGCGGCGAGAGGCAGAGGCCCCGGGCGCGTGCGAGCAGGGCCGCGGGGAGGACAGCGCGGAGCACAGAGCAGGGGAGAGATGAGCTTCCTGTTTATCACCCAGCACCGCTGGGCTCAGGGACAGGATGGCCCTGTCAGCCACGGTGGGGCCCGGCTCCCCACCAGATGTGGCGGGACCTCGCAAAGGGACGGCCTGGCCCAGCGACCCGTTCCAGCGGGGGCTGCTGGGACGGTGGGGCTCCAGCACCCCGGGGCCAGGCGAGCTGCCTACCCCCGGGCGGGGCCCAGTCCTGAAGGGAACATGTTCCTTAGGGAGCACGGGCTCTGTCCGGGTGCCTGGGGTCCTCAGCTTCCCCCTCGCTGCCCCCGTCCCGCCTCGCTGGTCTGTGAGAAGTGCCCCGTGCTGACGCCCAGTGCAGCGCTCCCAGACGCACTTGGGTTGAGACGCGCCCATTTTTAGATGATGTGACTGAGGCTTACAGGAGAAGGTGCTTGTCCGGGGTGGGTGAGTGGGTGTCTGGGCAGCGGGAGACCCTCAGGGGACCTTGGGCTCCATCTCCTCGCTGCCCCCTGGCCGTGCCTCCTGGGGACCACACGTGGAGGCCCAGGATACAACCTGCCCCGAGCCCCAGCCCTGTCTTTGGTTCCCAGAAGGTCCCTGTGGGCTCTGCCTCCAGAATATGTCCCTCCTGCCACTGCCGATCCTAACCCAGGCCCCGACATTTCCCTCCTGGATGGCCTCCTCCCTGGCTTGCCGGGCACCCCTGCCCCCACCCCCCTGGTCAGGGAGCTTTGTGAAGGGTGACGTCCAGTCTGCCTGCGACATCCCTGCCTTAGCTCCCCCAGGGCTCCCCAGGGCCCTCGGACCAACTCCGGTCCCTCGCGCGGCACCCTGAGCTCCCCCCGTGGAGAGGACAGCGGCCTCGTCTCTGGCCAGCGGCTGCCTGCACTGCACCAAGGCAGGTGGGCAAAGGGCGGGCCCAGAAGGGCGCCCCCCACCCCAGGGCGGCTTGCAAACGGGCATTGCCGGCGAGACTCTGCAGAGACGCGCACGGCCAGTGAATGTCTGCACACGGAGCACGCCCGCGTACCCCGCGCGCCACCGAGAGACAGGCCCCGCCCTCACACCCCAGGAGCCGCCCCCACCCCGCTCCTGTGCTGCGGCTGTGCCTCGGTCAGGGTGTAAGTCCGCGGGGTCTCTCGGGGCCCGCGCTGTGCTGGCCTCATCTGCCTGGTGCCACATCTAGGAGACTTGTCTTTGCTGTTGCGATGTGCGGCTGCTGTTCGTCTCCGGCGAGAAGGGACCACAGTCATGCCCACACTGTTGCTGGCTTCGGGTCTTATTGATGGGGCTGCTTTGGGCATGTTCATGCTGGCCTCCTGGCAGATGCACGCATGTATGCACGCGAGCGTGTTCCTCCTGCCTACTTATCCCTGGGACTGGCCGGGGACCAGGAGAGGCATGAAGCCAGCACCGCCCGACAGCTGTCCAGCTCGCCCCACCAGCGACTTTCGGCTGCCCCGCTCCCTCGCCAACACTTGTGATTGTCCAGTTCATCATTTTAGCCATTCTGACAATTTTGCAGTTAGCGTAGCTGTATGATTACTTCTTTCGTGTAGGGGGATGAAGGAAATCTTATTTTGTGAATCACAGGCTTCCTCCTTGGGGAAACACAGAGGATGCCTGGCTGGGTGAGGGAGGGCAGGGGCCCTTGGGAGGCAGGGCAAACGCCGGGGTAGGGGATCCAGGCTCCAAGTCTCGGGACGGCCTGAGCTGTGGGTGCCATGGCCAGCTAGGGCGCGAGCCCTCTGGGTGGTGCAGACAGAAGAGGCTCCCCGCCGGGGCAGTGCTGGGGGCCGGCCCCCGGGTGTAATTTCTGCTGTGGGTGGGCAGTGTGTCTCTGGTCCCCAAGAACCCCCGAAATGTTTGTCTCCAGAGCTGTCAGCCAGGTCGGGGTCACAGTGTTGACAAGGGCCGCGAGGTGGGCACTCACAGGGTGGTTGGGCCGACGGCTGCAGGGGCCTTGCCGAGCAGGGTCCCTGCCCGGGGCTGTCGCCAGGCCCTCGAGGGCCACCCCAGCCCACC